ATATGTTCTAAGGCCCCTATGACCATATTGTAATATGTTCTAAGGCCCCTTTGACCATATTGTAATATGTTCTAAGGCCCCTTTGACCATATTGTAATATGGTTTAAGGCCCCTTTGACCATATTGTAATATGTTCTAAGGCCCCTTTGACCATATTGTAATATGTTCTAAGGCCCCTTTGACCATGTTGTAATATGTTCTAAGGCCCCTTTGACCATATTGTAATATGTTCTAAGGCCCCTTTGACCATATTGTAATATGTTCTAAGGCACCTTTGACCATATTGTAATATGTTCTAAGGCCCCTTTGACCATATTGTGATATGTTCTAAGGCCCCTTTGACCATATTGTAATATGTTTCAAGCCCCCTTTGACCATATTGTAATATGGTCTAAGGCCCCTTTGACCATATGGTAATATGTTCTAAGGCACCTTTGACCATATTGTAATATGTTCTAAGGCCCCTTTGACCATATTGTAATATGTTCTAAGGCCCCTTTGACCATATTGTAATATGTTCTAAGGCCCCTTTGACCATATTGTAATATGTTCTAAGGCCCCTTTGACCATATTGTAATATGTTCTAAGGCCCCTTTGACCATATTGTAATATGTTCTAAGGCCCCTTTGACCATATTGTAATATGTTCTAAGGCACCTTTGACCATATTGTAATATGTTCTAAGGCCCCTTTGACCATATTGTAATATGTTCTAAGGCCCCTTTGACCATATTGTAATATGTTCTAAGGCACCTTTGACCATATTGTAATATGTTCTAAGGCACCTTTGACCATATTGTAATATGTTCTAAGGCCCCTTTGACCATATTGTAATATGTTCTAAGGCCCCTTTGACCATATTGTAATATGTTCTAAGGCCCCTTTGACCATATTGTAATATGTTCTAAGGCCCCTTTGACCATATTGTAATATGTTCTAAGGCCCCTTTGACCATATTGTAATATGTTTCAAGCCCCCTTTGACCATATTGTAATATGGTCTAAGGCCCCTTTGACCATATTGTAATATGTTCTAAGGCCCCTTTGACCATATTGTAATATGTTCTAAGGCCCCTCTGACCATATTGTAATATGTTCTAATGCCTCTATGACCATATTGTAATATGTTCTAAGACGCCCTTTGACCATGTTGTAATATGTTCTAAGGCCCCTTTGACCATATTGTAATTTGTTCTAAGGCCCCTTTGACCATATTGTAATATGGTTTAAGGCCCCTTTGACCATATTGTAATTTGATCTAAGGTCCCTTTGACCATATTGTAATATGTTCTAATGCCCCTTTGACCATATTGTAATATGTTCTAAGGCCCCTTTGACCATATTGTGATATGTTCTAAAGCCCCTTTGATCATATTGTAATATGTTCTAAGGCGCCCTTTGACCATATGGTAATATGTTCTAAGGCACCTTTGACCATATTGTAATATGTTTCAAGCCCCCTTTGACCATATTGTAATATGTTCTAAGCCCCCTTTGACCATATTGTAATATGGTCTAAGGCCCCTTTGACCATATTGTAATATGTTCTAAGGCCCCTGTTGACCATATTGCAATATGTTCTAAGGCCCCTTTGACCATATTGTAATATGTTCTAAGGCCCCTTTGACCATATTGCAATATGTTCTAAGGCACCTTTGACCATATTGTAATATGTTCTAAGGCACCTTTGACCATATTGTAATATGTTCTAAGGCACCTTTGACCATATTGTAATATGTTCTAAGGCCCCTTTGACCATATTGTGATATGTTCTAAGGCCCCTTTGACCATATTGTAATATGTTCTAAGGCGCCCTTTGACCATATGGTAATATGTTCTAAGGCACCTTTGACCATATTGTAATATGTTCTAAGGCACCTTTGACCATATTGTAATATGTTCTAAGGCACCTTTGACCATATTGTAATATGTTCTAAGGCCCCTTTGACCATATTGTAATATGTTCTAAGGCCCCTTTGACCATATTGTGATATGTTCTAAGGCCCCTTTGACCATATTGTAATATGTTCTAAGGCGCCCTTTGACCATATGGTAATATGTTCTAAGGCACCTTTGACCATATTGTAATATGTTCTAAGGCACCTTTGACCATATTGTAATATGTTCTAAGGCCCCTTTGACCATATTGTAATATGTTCTAAGGCCCCTTTGACCATATTGTAATATGTTCTAAGGCCCCTATGACCATATTGTAATATGTTCTAAGGCCCCTTTGACCATATTGTAATATGGTCTAAGGCACCTTTGACCATATTGTAATATGTTCTAAGGCACCTTTGACCATATTGTAATATGTTCTAAGGCCCCTTTGACCATATTGTAATATGTTTCAAGCCCCCTTTGACCATATTGTAATATGGTCTAAGGCCCCTTTGACCATATTGTAATATGTTCTAAGGCCCCTTTGACCATATTGTAATATGGTCTAAGGCCCCTTTGCCCATATTGTAATATGTTCTAAGGCCCCTTTGACCATATTGTAATATGGTTTAAGGCCCCTTTGACCATGTTGTAATATGTTCTAAGGCCCCTTTGACCATATTGTAATATGTTCTAAGGCCCCTTTGACCATATTGTAATATGTTCTAAGGCCCCTCTGACCATATTGTAATATGGTCTAAGGCCCCTTTGACCATATTGTAATATGGTCTAAGGCCCCTTTGCCCATATTGTAATATGTTCTAAGGCCCCTTTGCCCATATTGTAATATGTTCTAAGGCCCCTTTGACCATATTGTAATATGTTCTAAGGCCCCTTTGACCATATTGTAATATGGTCTAAGGCCCCTTTGCCCATATTGTAATATGTTCTAAGGCCCCTTTGACCATATTGTAATATGTTCTAAGGCCCCTCTGACCATATTGTAATATGTTCTAATGCCTCTATGACCATATTGTAATATGTTCTAAGACGCCCTTTGACCATGTTGTAATATGTTCTAAGGCCCCTTTGACCATATTGTAATTTGTTCTAAGGCCCCTTTGACCATATTGTAATATGGTTTAAGGCCCCTTTGACCATATTGTAATTTGATCTAAGGCCCCTTTGACCATATTGTAATATGTTCTAATGCCCCTTTGACCATATTGTAATATGTTCTAAGGCCCCTTTGACCATATTGTGATATGTTCTAAAGCCCCTTTGACCATATTGTAATATGTTCTAAGGCGCCCTTTGACCATATGGTAATATGTTCTAAGGCACCTTTGACCATATTGTAATATGTTCTAAGGCACCTTTGACCATATTGTAATATGTTTCAAGCCCCCTTTGACCATATTGTAATATGGTCTAAGGCCCCTTTGACCATATTGTAATATGTTCTAAGCCCCCTTTGACCATATTGTAATATGGTCTAAGGCCCCTTTGACCATATTGTAATATGTTCTAAGGCACCTTTGACCATATTGTAATATGTTCTAAGGCACCTTTGACCATATTGTAATATGTTCTAAGGCCCCTTTGACCATATTGCAATATGTTCTAAGGCACCTTTGACCATATTGTAATATGTTCTAAGGCCCCTTTGACCATATTGCAATATGTTCTAAGGCACCTTTGACCATATTGTAATATGTTCTAAGGCACCTTTGACCATATTGTAATATGTTCTAAGGCACCTTTGACCATATTGTAATATGTTCTAAGGCCCCTTTGACCATATTGTAATATGTTCTAAGGCCCCTTTGACCATATTGCAATATGTTCTAAGGCACCTTTGACCATATTGTAATATGTTCTAAGGCCCCTTTGACCATATTGTAATATGTTCTAAGGCCCCTTTGACCATATTGTAATATGTTCTAAGGCACCTTTGACCATATTGTAATATGTTCTAAGGCACCTTTGACCATATTGTAATATGTTCTAAGGCCCCTTTGACCATATTGCAATATGTTCTAAGGCACCTTTGACCATATTGTAATATGTTCTAAGGCACCTTTGACCATATTGTAATATGTTCTAAGGCACCTTTGACCATATTGTAATATGTTCTAAGGCCCCTTTGACTATATTGCAATATGTTCTAAGGCACCTTTGACCATATTGTAATATGTTCTAAGGCACCTTTGACCATATTGTAATATGTTCTAAGGCCCCTTTGACCATATTGTAATATGTTCTAAGGCCCCTTTGACCATATTGCAATATGTTCTAAGGCACCTTTGACCATATTGTAATATGTTCTAAGGCACCTTTGACCATATTGTAATATGTTCTAAGGCCCCTTTGACCATATTGCAATATGTTCTAAGGCACCTTTGACCATATTGTAATATGTTCTAAGGCACCTTTGTATTACAATATATTACAATATGTTTCAAGCCCCCTTTGACCATATTGTAATATATTCTAAGGCACCTTTGACCATATTGTAATATGTTTCAAGCCCCCTTTGACCATATTGTAATATGGTCTAAGGCCCCTTTGACCATATTGTAATATGTTCTAAGGCCCCTTTGACCATATTGTAATATGTTCTAAGGCACCTTTGACCATATTGTAATATGTTCTAAGGCCCCTTTGACCATATTGTAATATGGTCTAAGGCCCCTTTGACCATATTGTAACTCTCGCACTCGCACTCTCTTTAGCTGAGTGACGATTATTAGATAGTCGAGACACCAACCCGAGTACAGCTTTCGCATTCCCTTTAGCTGAGTGACTGTTATTAGATAGTCGGGACACCAACCCGACTTTAGCGTTTTCTCTTGTTTTTTTTTAATATGTGTCCAAAAAAAATGATCAAAAATTAAAAAATTGCTCGAAATAAAAATTTTTCCAAATCAGCCCGAAAGTAACTAGCATTAATGCATTATTTTGTAAGCTGCTCAAAACAGTAAGTATTTTTAGTATGGTATAATTTTAAACCAAGTAGCTGCAAAAAAAAGACATCAAAAAAATCAATTTTCCATCCAAAAAATCTTCCAATACAGTTTCCATACACTTTCGGATGAGCCCGTAATTAAAAAGTCTCCAGTTTGTTATTAATGTTAAAAATGTTTTTATTCTGTTTGCGTGTATATCAATAAGTAAAATCATTGTAGTATCAACATATTTCAACTGTGTGTGGTGTTTTTGCGGGGGACCCGGGTCGATCCCCCTTTTTTCCCCCCATTTCGCTTAACCGCTAAAACATAAATAATTTAAAACTTAATCCACTAAGGCCACTTTCCCTCGCAGCACTTTACAAAAACTTCTCAAACTCTTTTTTGCACAATATTACAAAAAACAAAAAAAAGAAATGGACATACAAAAAAAATAAACAAAATACTTTCGGATAATTTCAATCAATCGACGACAAGGGACTCGAATCAAGGCAAATCGATGGTTCAGCGAATGCCAAACGCAACATAGTAGTAAGTAGCATATATAGTACAATTAATTTAGTTCGTTTTAGTGGGGGGGGGCAAACAAACATACATAAGAGAACACGAATGCTACGAAAATATCAATCAAAATTTTGCACTCCCCAAGCAAATTGGACAAAGTACGTGTACAATTAGTTTAGTTTAGTCCCCCACTCTTAGAAATACGGTTTAGAAAGCACTTGAATTTCGCTGTTCACGACAAAGGCAACATGGTGTTGGATTAGTGTTTCGATTCTGCACCCGCACCCGTAGGCGCCACCGATCTCCTCCAGCTGTTGTGGGTCAAGTGAATCAATTGGTGACGCTTGGTGACCAGTTTTTGGCTATTTAGCCGCTGCAATACAAAACACAAAATGGTGTAAGTATAATTTGGTTTAGGCAAAGGCATAGACGATACAAAAAGTGCTAGGTGAGTGCGTGTTGGATTGGTAATCTTAAGCTTTGGGGGAATCGATACAACAGGCAAGCGAAAAGGAAAGAGAGAGCAATAGAGATATAGACAGAGACAGAGCGAGCAAGCGGGCGAGAGACAGCGAAGATGGGGTGAAAGGTCAGTGGGGCATCATCATCATCATCAGTGGGTACTTCTTACTTCGACTTCCAGCTATAGTTGTTGTTCCTTTCGAAGGAGTTGCCTCACTTGTAGTTGTTCTTGTTGTTGTTGGGGGTTGTGGTGTAGTTGGTGATGTAGTTGTTGTTGTTGTTGTTGGGGATTGTTGTTGGTTAAGTGTCTACTTAAATGCAACTTGCAACATGCGCGCAGCACTTACTTTAGAAAGTCATTCATATTGATGTAATTTTTATAACTAAATAAGGAGAGAAATTACAAAAAAAGAATGCATTCGGTTAAAAAAACGAAGGGCAAACGAAACAAAACAAAAAACGAGAACAGAAACGAACAGAGCACATCGGTGGGTTGGTGGTTAATGGCGAGTGATAATTGATTGGGATTATAGGGGTTACATTAAGGATCGACGTAGGATTGTTCATATTTATGGCGATTTGGAGTGAACACACATCATGTATACAAAATATAGATATCAAAATAATTTCCATCCAGTGCGCGACACCGAATTTAGATCGCAAGGGTGGCTCTATCGGGTATCAACAATCCTACCGGCGGTCAAAGGTCATGCAGTTGGTTTGATTTGGTTGGTTGATTGGTTAGTGGGTGGTGGTGGGCGTGGGCGTGGAGCGAGACCAGAACGACCAGGTGGCGTACCTCTTGGCGGACGTGGTGCGCGAATAGGGATTCTGCAAGATCTTCGGATGCGTCTCCATCACGCGCAGCAGCAGGTTGTCCAGGTAGTCCTCCAGCTCCTTGACGCGCTGTCGCTGCAGCAGAGCCTCGTTCTCCATTCCGTTGGCAATTAGCATTAGTTCCTAGATGAAAAGTGAGAGGAATATTATTAATTATATTAATATAAATTCATAAAACAACGCCCTTACCTCCCGGGACTTGCCCTCGTATTTCTTGGCCAGCTGGGCGGATATCTCCGAGCGTCGCTCCGCATGCGAGCCCGACTTCTCGTGACCAATAATTATGCGCTCCGTGGACTTGGGACTAGGCGAGTTGCTCTCATTGTCGTTGTTGTATTTATCTGTGAAAGGAAAACAAGAAAGTTAGCCAAGTAGAAACCAAGGAAAAGGCGGGCGGATGAGAAGGAGTATGCGAAATTCACTGGCGGATGCAAAGGAAACACAACGGAAACAACATAAAACAGTCAAGGGAACAGGCGACAGGTAAAAGTGGGAAAGAAACGCTTCGGAGGAGGATGACGCGACAGTTGACAGCGTTGACTGGAAGTTAGCTTGGTTCGGTTTCGGTTTCGTGTGCCCGCCGCAATCCGCCAGCGATTTGTGGAAGGAGTTTCGGTTCGGTTTTCGGTTCGGATCGGGTTCATCAGCTCACCTCGCTTGTTGCCGTATTTGAACTTGCCCAGCCGCTTTTCCCAGTGCTCCCCGCCGCCGCTGCCGTTCGTCTGGAACTCCTTGGGCGACTGCTCGGGCGTTAGGAAATTGTGCTCCGGCTCTGTCGCTTCAACCTCTGCTGGCTCCGTCTCCTCCTTCTCTGTACTGGCTACCGGCTCCTCGAGGGAAGTGGATCGCTTGGCGAAGCTCAGCAGTCTTTGGTCCTCCTCCCAGCGCTTCGCCTCGCGCCTCTGCTGCTCGTCCAGCTGCAATTGCTTTCGTCGCTCCCTCTCCCTCTCCTCCTCCATCTCCCGCTGCATGGCCGCCTCCTCCTCGCGCAGCCGCTCCTCATTCAGCCGCAGCTCCGCCTCCAGGCGGGCATCCTCCTCGGCGCGCTGCTGCCTCGCAGCCTCCTCCTCCTCAGCCCTCAAATCAGCCGTAGCTCGCGGCTGTGGCTTGGGACGAGCTGTAGGCGTGGGCACTGGCTTCTCCAGCTCCGCCGTCAAATCATCCAACTCGGGCTCATCGGCAAAGATGGCGGTGCTGTTGCGCTGCTCGTACTTGGCGAAGCTGGCGTTGAAGGTGTCAAAGTTGCGGTGCTCCACTTCGGGGGAGAAGAGCGAGGAGGAGGTGGCTGCCACTGGAGCAGGAGCAGCAGCAGGAGCAGGCACGGGTACTGGTGGCGGAGCTGTCTGCGGTGGCTGCTCATCCTCATCCTCGTCGCTATCCTCGCTGGAACTGGACGACGAACTGGACGTGGGCATTGGCGGCGGCTCCTCGACGCTGGCAGGCAGCGGCACTCGATCCTCCCAGCTGCGTCGCTTCAAGGAGTCACTGCTACCGATCTCCAGGTACTTGCCACCGCCATACAACTTCGAGGCCCACTCGTCTTTGTCGCTCTCCACCTCCTTGGGCTTCTCCCTTGGCTTCTCCTTTGGCTTCTCCCGCTCCAGACTTTCAGCCACCGGCTGCTCCTGCTCCAGGGGAATGCGCGGCGGCTTCGAGGGTGGCGGCAGGGTGCTGCTGCTGTTGCTGCTGCGGGCGTGGGCACGTACACTGAAATCGAGCTCAAGCTGTTCCATATCCGCGTCGATGGGCGCATCATCCTCATCGAGCGTCACTGGCAAAATCGCTGGCTTACCTTTCCCGCTGCCGCCGCCTGCTACTCCTCCTCCATTGCTCAGCAGAGGCGATGGATGGCGCGGCGCAAAGTTAGGCGCCGTTCCTAACGCCGCCGGGGGCTGCAAACCGGTGCGTTGGATGTTCAGCGAGCTACCCGAACTCTTGTGCGACAGATTATCGAAGACAAACTCATCCTCATCCTCGCTAATCACGCCGGGATCGGCCTCGCCCGCCCGCTGGCCGCCACGTCGTCGTCCACTGCCGCCGCCGCCGTTCTGTCCCCGGCCATTCGAGCTATTTGGGGTGCCCAGGCTGGCAAAGGAGCCGCCAAAGGAGCTGCTATCATCCGCTCCTCCCTCCTGATGCTTCTTCTTGCTGCGTATGTGCAGCTTGGAGCTCAGCGATCCGGCCAGCTTCTTGATGCTGCGCCGCTTCTCGCCATTGCCGATGGACAGCAGGCTGCCGCCAACGGAGCTGGCCAGCTGGCCAATGGAAGACTTGTGCTTGTCCTTCTTGCTGAGATCGGTCAGCGAACCGGACTTCACGACGAAGGCGATGCGCACCTCCAGCTCGCCGCGCTCCTTGTTCTTCTTCTCCTTGCCCGGCTTGCTCTCCAGCTTGAACCATTTGGCGCGCGGACGATCGTAGACGTCCATCTCGTTGAGGGGCAGCGAGGCCTGGCCGAGGAACTCATCGATGCCCAGATTGTTGCGGTGCAGGCAGGTCAAAGTGAGCTCGGCGCGGTTGCCCTGATCGGGGATTTTGCTGGGGGGAAAAGATAAGATTATAATAAATATGGGTATTTAGAGTAGAGAATCTTAACTCACAGCTCGCACTCCTCGTTCCAATTGACGCTCGTCTCGGCCTTGTCCTTGACCGACGTCTGGTACTTCTCCTTGCCCAAGGCAATCGTGACGAAGCAGTTGTTGGTGCCATTCTTGCCCTTGGTTAGCAGCCCCCGCGCTCGCTGCACTGCAATTGAAAATCGCAAGAATTTCGTTGAAAGATTAGAGATTTTTCGCATTTACTTGAATCACAGCCCAAGGCTTCCGTTATCCAGATCATAAAGTGAGTAACGCTACCAAACATTTCGTTCATTTTTACTGATTTCTGATTAATTCTGTACACTAAACTCTGGTGATTAAAAGTCTCACCCGAAAAAACACCCAAAAAACATGTATGAGTTTGACATTTTCGGTTACTAAGCCGAGTTGTGATAAATAAAGCATAAGAACTAAATCCCTTAGTAGATCATGAAGATCGTCATGCATAAATGTATCTGGAGGAGTGGGTATCTGGGTGGGCAAACAATGATGGGACTCGGAATTCGGAATTCGGAATTTGGAATTGGGGAATGGTATGGGTTGTGCGGTGGCGTGTCGCTTTGGCTGGTGGCTTTCATATCTGCCGGATGCTCTGATCCGCCGCTCGAGGTCATGAGGCCCGTCGCTCGAGTGAAACTCGAAATTTGCTGGACGGAGGAAGCGGCAGAGTTTTTGGCAAGTGATTCACTCGACCAACTGAAGCGACAATCGCTGGCTTAGATTCGCTTTTTTCTGTATTTTATTTTATTTATTTTTCGCGGAGACTCCGGCGCCTTCTCCGATTCTCCAGCTGCACAGCTGCCGGAAATGAAGACGAAATTAAGTCAGAAACAGAACTCCAAGACATCTATTTTTGGGTTCTCCCTTTTCCCTAGAGAAGGTCATTCCACTGGCCAGATGTTCAACCCAACCAAGTTACCACACATTTCCATTATTCAAATGTGATTGTGCACTTGCACAAAGTCTGTTTTCGCAATCCCATCCAGCGTTTCGTAATGCCAAAAAAAAGTTGTAGGGAAAAGAAGCAATTAGCGGGCATAAATAATAAAGAAAAGAAGGGGAAAAAAAAGTGAAAAGCGGTGTCAACGAAAGATGGTGAAAATCGTATGTTGGAAAATCGGGAAAGCGCAAAAACAATGGCTTTTTGTGGCCTGCAGATTTGTGCATCTTTTTCGTTTCCATTTCATTTTCGATCTCGAGCGAGTGCAAGTGCCACCTATTTTCCTTTTTTCTCTCACGGGTGGGCGTCGTCTCATAATTATTATCGCATTAACAGTTTTCCCCGTTTTTCCCGTCTTTCCATTTCCATTTGGCCTGCAGCCTAGCCTGTAAGCCAATTTGGAATGTCTTTCCCGTTTTTCCTCGAGTTTTATTTGGTTTTTAGTGGCCCATAATTGAGGTGCTTAAATATCGATAATCCAGGTGCTCCAGCTCATCTTTCTTTTTTTTCTACAACTAATAGCTACTTTGGAAGACGAGAAGATGGATGGTAACAAAGATATAAATATATATATACAAGATATATAAAGATACACAGAGCTGTCAATAACCCGCCCGGCAATTTCGTGCAGCGGCTCATGCAAATCCCCACCAGAGATCGATGGACTCCTCCGAATTCCCTACACAGAAAACAAATTCGAAATGAAATAGTACAATTTCTATCTTATTTGATATGAATAATGTCAAATTTATGATTCAAACATATCAATTTGATATTTTATAACTATTTTAAAATTTTAAAAATGTAGTATTTTTTGAACAAATATTATAAAATAAGATAAATATATTCACTTTAAAAATTATATGAATAACTTGATCTTTAAAGAATTTTAATTTAACCTGATCTTTTGTCAACTTTTTTTCTGTGTAGCTGCCATACCAAATATGCTCCCTTCATAACAACGACAATGCTGATGATGATGTCTATGTGGCTTTTGCATGGAGAGGTGCCCCCAAAATAGAAATGCCAAATGCTAAATGGCAAAAAGGTAAGAAAACTATATAAAAACAGAAAAAAATAAGGCAAGCAGCGCCAAAGACAAAAACAAAACCAAATAGCAAATAGCAAACGGGGAAACCGTTAAGTTGGTCCGCTTTTATGGCCGCCTCTCGAAACTAATGACGCTGCCCGCACAGTGGACCGAAAGTGATTAATTCCGGTCACTTTTGGGTAACATTTTTGTGTTGAAAACCAATCTACTACACAGCAGAAAAAAAATGGAACAATAAAAATAATGATCTGCATATTGAACTCAAAGATTCCTATTAAATAAAAAAAAATATCTAAAATAAAAAAAAAAAAAAACAGATAATAATTAATGTATTTACATAAAATATTTACCTTCTTAAGGATAAAATTTTTTTAAAATAAAATTTTTAAATTTACAAAAATTGTTAAAATCAATATTTTCAAATTTAAAATGAATAAAAACCGCAATGGGGAAAAACAAAATAAATAAATCTTTGAATCTACTACGTTTTCTTTATCACTGTATCTCCACCCACTGTGCCAAAATAGTTGCGCATTTGATTTTCACTTGGCGATGCTGATGCCCCGATAAAATCTCTGCCAAAACGGAAGCCCCGCACTTTTACCTTTTCAATTTCGATTGCGATTCAATCACGTGCCGTTTTGCGGGTTAATCGCGAGTTGTTTTGTCTGGCTGATTGCTGATGATTCAATTAATATCGCAATTGACAAACTCGCAAAGTTATCTACCCATGACATAGAAAGCAAAGGATCCAGGGGTTACTCATGCGATTGGAGTGCGACACATACAACTTCATGAGTCACCTGTCGTCGTCGTCGTTCGTTTTCTGCGCGTGGCCCAAATAAGCCGCCGAAATTAACGGTTGGCTTCGAAGCGCCAAAATAAAAAAGAGAAATTTCTCAGCTGCTGTCCAGAAATACAGAAGTTGAGAGAATAAAACCCCGATATGGGAAAATGATTGACATTATCGATATTTTCGATATTCTGACAATATCGTCTCGATAACATTGATGTTTAGAAGGGAAAACACACATTAAATATAGAGAAATAACAAACTGTAACTAGAATTAGTTTTCGCTCTAGTTTACAGTCAATTATAGTTAAAAGCCTCCGTGGCTGCACCTTTATTTCCTTCTTTTTTTATGCGACCCCAGAGAGACGAAGGCAACCAAATAGAATAAACATCTGCCGTCGCATATTGTTGACCTTTCTGAACTGCCCGTTGGATGGGGAAACAAAACGAGACGAAACGAGAGGAGAGGTCAACTTTGGGGTTAATTAATTTCAATGAAATCATTGCTTGTTTGTTTGATTTTCCGGCTGCTTTTCTGGTTTCCCTGCGGGTAAGTATTGCAGCCACAGGTGACCATTTCCCTCTCCATTTCCCCACCAAGAAGAGAAAACCTCTGTTTCTATGAAGATCGCACAAGTCACGGGGATTATGGCCGATGTGAAACTTAATTGGTAGGGGGCCCAAGATACAGTATACAGTATACAGTGCAGTGCGATCATAAAAGAGCTTCATCTTATAGAGAGCACTTTAGACGTGAAATTCCCAGCACGCATTTTCGTGTTCCACTTTTTCTCGCACTCTGTTTTTTTTTTATTCGAGGGCGGTGCGTGGGCGTGGCCAGAATGTAAGAATGCCAGAAGTAAAATAATACCACCGAGAGCCCAATGCTCCAGAGAGAGGCCAATGCTCCTCCTGGGGGCCAAGCCACGCATGCTAATGAGCCAGCCAAGCGAACCAAGTTGGGAACCAACCAAGAGACTTGGTCTGATCTTTCTGACTGCTGCTTTCCCAACGAATGTCTCAATCGAAGGAAGGTCAGGGGTTATGGGGTTACAACTCAGGGGCTAGCACGTGCTATGGGCTATAAGCTTAGGCCAAACTGGGGGCCAATCCGCAGGTTTTTATAGCCTATAGCATTACAGCACAGATCCCGATCCCGTTTGATGAAAAGCATTAGCAACAATTAATGTGGCAACTGTGTGTGTGTGTCTGCGGATCGTGCGAAAATGTGAAAATGGGAAAATGCGAAGAGTCGGCGATCAAAGTAAACGGTCTATCAATGGATCCCACCATCTAACAGCGAATCATTTTATTGTTATGCATAAACAATTTCTTTCTTTCCCGCAAGCATTGAACCCACCACAAAGCCGTGCGATTTTTAAATGTAAATGTAAATGGAAATGAAAATGGAAATGAAAAACATAAAGCAGAGTTTTTCCAAATGAAAGGCAATTAGCATTTGAAGAGAAGAGGAGTATAGAAGAGAAGCCTCTTCTTCTGTGTTTATCGTGCTAGCATGTTTTGAATATAAACGCAAGGGGCTAAAAAGAATCCGAACCCGAATCCAAAACCGATTCCCAGCATGAATATTCAGGAGAGGATGAGTGTGGAGGAGGAGGCTTTTGGGAAGTGCCGGAGGAATGTGGCCACTGGCCAAGAAGAACTGGAACTGGAAAATAATCAAATGCAGACCCGCGATGCGAAGACAGAGATCCACACACAATCCAATGCCAGACCTGTTTTTCAATTCTTCCCCCTTCGCTTTCCCGGTTTTCCCGATCCCGATCCCAACCAAACCAAACCCATCCGATCCGCATCAGCTTCTCCAGTTTGCTCGGTTCTATTCTGGCTAAATGGGTCGGGCAATGGAACGTAACTGTTTCGCATAAGTGCATCGACAGCGTCGCATTAAAACGGTCCCGGGCAGTTGGTATAGGGGGTATTACGATAGACGATAGATAGAGGTCTTTGGCATAATCTTAAGACGTCATCTGCCGGTTCCCATTTCAATCCGGTGACAAACGGTAGGAATATAGCATAAAGACTTTGATCAGGGATTATTATAATCATAATCTAGAGTATTATAAAAGAAAAATATTTCACCGGATATTTAAAATCGACCAACTATTAATTTTATGGGTTTAATGAAATTTTTACTATTTTATTTATATTTATTTATACATCTTTCAATTTTATTTTGGGTTATATTTCTATAAATTTCAAAACCCATTTTAAAGGGACCAAAATTGGTTAAATAATACTGATTTCATTCCACTTAACGAGTATTCACTGTATGGCCACCTTTCTTTACCCATAAAAAAGGGCGGGGTGCATCGCTCTGATTTTTATTTTTTGTTCACTGCAACCGCATTAAAAAATGCGTTGCAAAAGCAAACAAAACATAAAAAGCCCAAACCAAAAACCGAAATGGAAATGAAAAGGAAAATTAGCCGTTTGTTTTGTTTGGGTCTGCTTGGCTGCCCGCCGCTCATTGCACAATTTCCCGCTGCGGAATTTTCATTTTCAGGTATTTTTTTCTATTTTTCAGGTGTGTCTGATTTGGATTTAAGTGAGTAAGTGAGTGGCCGCCGCCTAAGAATTTACGGCTAAAAATAAGGCACGCAATTGGCCAACTTTTGGGGTGGAGTCGTCGTTGGTAAGGAACTTTCCTGGCTAAAACGAACCACTGACAAGAAGGTAAAAATCCAGGTGGTTGGTAGGTGAATGCAAGAAGGGCACACGGAAAAAACCAATTTGAATTAAAATCTGAGGTATTTAATTGGTAATGGAGAATTAGGATGAAAGCTTTACAAAACCTTGATATTCAATTAGCTAAATAAGTGCCATTTCAAGATATAACTATTGAATTATTTTACATTTTTCCGGATTTAAAATCATATGTGAAATCTTTTAATTGGTAATGGGGAATAAGGATAAAATCTTTATAAAACCTTGATATTCAATTAGATAAATAAGTACCAATTCAACCAATTTTTTCAGATTAAAAAAATAATATGTGAAATATTCATTAAGATTATAAATAGTTCTCTCTGTGTGGGAACACCTTTTGGTTTGGAACAGTGGGCCCCTGAGAACAGCAGCGAAAACAGCTGTTTTTTTAAAGCGTGCTCTCATCTCATTCTCATCCACAGATTGGCAAATATTGACAGGTGTGCGTGCGTGTGTGTGTGTGCCGTGACGTCAACGGCTCTTCTGGCTTTTAATCGCAATTTGCTGGAATAAAAATGATACTGTGCGCTGTGCAAATATGCAAAATAAATGACAAGCTGATAAAGCGGGGGCAAGTTCAAGGTGGCGGGGGGCACACACCTATCTATATCAGTGTTTATCTTCTTGATTTGTGTACCTACATTCCGCGGCTTGTGACTCATTTGGCCATTTAAGCCACACGCACACAGAAGCATTAAATTTCGCCTTAAATATTTTCGCCCCAATATTTGTTTTCATAATTGCCCCCCTCCCCCTTATAAAAAAGTGGGAACAGCTGAGCGCGCTTTGTGTTTTGTCACGAATCACGAATCACAATTGGAATTTGCGATTTCTCATTGACATTCAACCTCGAAGAAAATGAGAAACGAAAACGAAAACAATGCCAAAATCAAAGGTAAACACACACAAGAGGGGCCCAAAAACAATTTTTAAGCGCCACCATGGGCGTGGTGTGCTAAATGCAAGAATGCTGGAAGACAGGGGCGTAGATAGAGGGGGTCGAAGTTTTCTAGCGATGAGTAAGAATGTCGAAGCAAGGGAATTTATCTTATCAGCCAGAAAAGGCAAAGAAAAGGCAATCGCTGAAATCAGGAAAACATAAAGAGAGCGCCTGGGAGAGCGAGAAAGACGGTGGGCGGAAGAGAGCGCGCGGGGGAGAAAGTGAAATTTCGAATAGGTACGAGTACAACAACAACAAATCAACAAAGTCATGACAATATTTTAAGCACACACCAACACAATGCAGGCCCCATCCAACACACACACACACACAGTCACACGGCAAACGAGTTTAAGTTTTAATGCGATTTATTTGCCGTAAAAAAAAAAGAAACAAAAAAACAACGGGTGTCCCCTGTCGCCCCCACTCACCCGTTACACTGCAGTGCGTCGGACTCCACATGTCACCCTGTATCCCGTTGATCAACTCTCTCTCTCTCTCTCTGCTGATCCTGCAAAAGTCCTGCCTTTTGCTTCCTCTCTTTTGGAATTTATAGTTTGGTTTTTTTTTCCTTTGTAACTTTGTGTTTTTCTTGTTGACACTGCGCGCACACTGGGTTTTCTTCCTGCCGTTTGCCAATTCAATCACGCGCGACACGAAAACGGTATCAGTATCAGAATCGTGTGTAAAATGCCAGGAGAGTGTGGTGTAAAAAAAAAACGAAGGAGAAAAGCGGAGAGACGCGACGCGTGCTGTTGTTGTTTCAAAGGTGGCCGCTAGAGTGACCATAGGTGGGTAAATGGTATATACCGCGGGAAAATGCCCAGCAAAAATACTTAACGGCCTAGAAAGAGAGGGTGGTATTTTAGCCCAAGCCGTGACTGGTCACACTGCAACGCACAGCTGTGGCGTCCTCATCCGAAATTGCAACGCTTTTTCTCGATTTGACAGCATTCCCGCGCTCGCCTTTGTTTAAAACTGTAGCCAACATGGAGCCAATGACCCTGGGCAGCCCGGTGAACAGCCCCGGCTCGAACCAGAGCCAGTACCTGCCGCCCTTCCTGCTCGGCGATCCGCAAAACCTAACGCCGCACAAGAACACGCTTTCGCCGAAGCCCGGCGGTCGCTACAATGTGAGTTTCGGTGAGTTAAGCTGATTTGGGTTTGGATCAGACTATATAGCATATATTCCCGTAGCCACATCGCCCGGCGGCGCCGCAGGGAGCAGCCCGCACGACTTTAACCGCTCGGCCATGAACACACGCACTTTGTTCGGCGGCGGCGGCGGAGGAGGAGGAGTTCAAGGAAATGGAGGCCACAACGTTTCCCTCAACCAGTCGGGCGCCCATGGCCACCACCATCACCACCACCAGGCGGGACCGCCCACCCAGGGACTCTTCGATTCGCTGCGCGAACAGGCCGCCACTCCGCAGCAGCGCAGTCAACTGAGCCTGCTGAATCAGAGCTACCAAACCAACGATTCCTTCGCTCCCGGGGCACCGAATGCCATTAATGCCTCAATGAGGGCTTTGTGCTCTCCTCTGGGAGCCATTGCCTCGCCAGGAGTTATAGGAACACCAGTTAGCAATGGAAACGGCAACTCCCGCCTGGCCGACTTTTGGGTCACCATCTTTGGCTTCTCGCCGGGAGCCAGCTCCATGGTGCTGCAGCACTTCACGCTCTGCGGCACCATTGTGGACGTGGTGCATGCCCCGCAGAACGGCAACTGGATGCATGTGCGCTTCTCCTCGCGCATCGAAAGCGACAAGGCTCTGAACTACAATCACAAGATCATCGCCGGCAATGTAATGGTGGGCGTGGCCCGCTGCACCGAACGTTCGGTGCTGGACAAGGAGAACAGCAGCGGTTTGGCCAATGCAGAGGCCACAGTAGCTAGCAATCAGCCCACCAGTCCCATTCGTCCCTTTGCCCAGCAGTCGTACAAGCTGGCACGGAATGAGAATACCATTTCGCCGTCGAAGGATGTGCCGCAGAAGAGCTCCGGGCTGATGGACAAGGCCATGGACTTGATATTCGGCTGGTGAGACAGGAGGAGGGCTGGCTTTTCCGGCTACTTATTTAATAATTCACTGCGTACATCCAGCATACATACATACATACTTATTAAAAGAGATACAATAGCAATAGCATTAGCAAAAGAATATTAGGGGAGAACAATTTCCCGTTTACTTGGGCTCCAGATGCGCCGTCTCCAGGTTCTTCATCTTGGGATAGCTAATCGAGCGGCTGTCCAGCTTGGACTGGGCCCACAAGATCAGCTTGAGCAGGAACATCATCTTGGGCGTCGAGTCCTCGCTGTGCTCGCAGCGCAGGATGGCCGAATTGAGCTCGCTGGCGATCTTCTGGCGATACGACTGCTCCAGCAGATCGGCAAAGGGGCTCTCCTGTGGCTTCTCAAAGGCCAGCAAGGCCAAGGTCCTCTCCAATTCGAACATGGCCTCCTCGCCGGACTCGGATAGCTTGCTCTGGGCAAAGGCCAAGGCCTCCTCCACCTTCCCGGCGCGAATCAGCTCGATTAGCTGCAGCTGCTGCAGGTGGAAGAACAGATAGCGATCGCTGCCGAGGAGCTCCGGATGCAGTTGATTGACCAGCTGGGTGGCCTCCTCAATCCGGCCAGCCTGGACGGCCTCGCGGATGAGGATGCGCTCGTCCAGGCTGCTCAGCTCGACGCTGGGCTCCAAATCCGCCTCGTGCTGGAACTTTTCGGCCGCCTCCTTGAAGCCCTCTGGGGAAAAAGGGGGGAAAATGGGTAATACAGGACTGGGATTACATGGTCCAAGGTCTCCACTCTCACCTGTCACCAAGTAGTTCATGATCAGGCGATTCATGTCCGCCTGCTTGAAGGGAAACTGCTCCAGGCGCTGCAGCCACTCCTCCTTGCCGATGGCCTCCGATTTCTCGTTGTAGCTCATTTTCTTGCTCTTGCGTATCTTGCCAATCTTGAGGCCGTTTCTCGAACACCGATCTGCGTCGAATTGAGCTGGGTTCTGGGCTTTTCCGTTTCCCGACTTCTCTGGCCTTCTTTTGTTTCTAAATCGTTTCTTTTTGTTTACTTGTTTACCAATTTTAATGCACAAATGACGCTGGAAAAAATATCTATTTTTCTTCTTCGATTCAGCGTGACCAGAGGTCACGTTCAGCTTTTTTCCCCTCTGTATCGATTATTCTGCAACTGCAACTGCACTTTTTCGATGAATCTTAAAGGGCGCGCACTTTTAATTTAAGTTAGGGGGGTTTTCTAATGGATGGAAAAATGGGTATTCTAGGTTGGAAGAAAAGAAACATCTTTTAACTGGGACCATTGATTTTCAAAGTAATTCCTCTATTTTTAATTTTTTATTTTAAGCAGCTTGATATTTCCAATTTTTAAAAATATGAAAAATAAATGGAAAATTTGTTCTTAATAAAAAGAGAAGAATACCCTGTGCACTTATTTCTATTTGTTCCAGTTAAGAAAAGAAAAAACCTCTTTTAACTGGGACCCATAATTAGTTAGTTGATTTTCAAAGTAGTTCCTATATTTTTAAATAATTTTTTTTAAGTAAAGTGATATTTCCAATTTTTTAAAATATGAAAAATAAATGGAAAATTTGTTCTTAATAAAAAAAAGAAGAAAACCATGTTCACTGATTTGTGTTTATTGTAATTTGGGTATTCCAGGATAGAAAAAAAGAAACCTGTTTTAACTGCGACCATAATTTAAAGTTTATTAAAAACATTTCTTTTATTTTTTATATGCAGAGTGATATTTACGACTTCTAAAAATATGAAAAATGTATGAAAATATATGTTGTTAATAAAAAAAAACCGTATTCACTGATTTGTATTTATTGTAATTATATAATTGTCAGATTTCTAAATAATAAGTCCTACTGGAATTTACATTTATTTTGATTAATTATTTCGGTGATTTTTATACTGTTTGGATGATAATAATAAAATAAAATCATTAAAAAAAGTATTTTTAGAGACTGTTTGGATGATAATAATGAAAAAAAAATCATTACAAATAAATGTTTTTTTGCGACTTTTAAATGCTACAAATTACAGAAGTAATTTTTAAAAAAAGTTTCAAATTATTTAGATTATTTTAGTATTTATAATATAAAAACATAATTGATAGCTCCATTCCCTTCCACTCCTCTCCATTTTAATCCGGAATATCAAAACACATACTTGCTCCCTAAAATAAAATCATTAAAAATAAGTATCTTTCATGGACTGTTTGGATGATAATGAAATAAAATCATTAGAAATAAGTGTTTTAAATACTACAAATTACAGAAGTAGTTTTTAAAAAAAGTTGTAAATTATTTCGATTATTTTAGTATTTATAATATAAATCAACCTCCATTCCCTTCCACTTTCATCCGGAATAACAAAACACACGCTTGCTCCCTTGCTGACCTAATTTTATTGAATACTTGGCTTCTGCTCCCTGGCCTCCACTTCCTCATCCACATCCCCATCCTCTAGCGACGCGACCAGCCGCTTCCTCCGCCTCCTCCGCCGCGGAAGAGGGGCGCCAGCAGGCTCGGTCGGCCTCAGTTCTTTCGGTTGCCCCGCCGCCGCATGGAGGCGGTGCACTTGGGGCAGTACCACTTGCCCTTCGGCGGCTGCGTGATGCCCACGCAGGGATAGTGGAACCACTCGTAGGGGCAGGCGTCGTTGTCGCAGGCCACCATGTCGCCGTAGGACACCTGGTTGCAGGTGCAGTAGCGCGGTTCGTTGGGGTCATACGACCATTCGCCCTCGTTTGTCTGCTCGACGACCAAACCATTCTCGCCGATGGTCAAACTGGAGCCAGGAGCCACCGTGGCGCTGGGCAGATTCATGGCAATCATCCCAGCTGGCACGTCCGTGGATCCGCCCTCTGTTAATCCTCCTCCACCTGCTGCAGTTCCCATGGCCACCAAAGTCTGTCCACCCACCGACATGTAGGTGGATCCCGAGGCTGCTGCCGCGGCCATGGCCATGGCCGTTGTGGTCAGCTTGCCCACGGAATGGGATTCCACGCTCATCGACGACGAGGAGGCCGAGCCCATTGAGTTGCCCGACGAGGAGCCGCCCGCCGTCGTCGGCTGAACCGTGGGCAGCGTCAGCTTCTTCTTCTGCTTTTTCTCCTGGTGGTGACTGCTGCCGCTGCTGCCGCTGTGATGACCATGTCCATGGCCATGCCCGTGAGTGTGACTATGCGAATGACTGCTGTGATGCGACTGCGAGTGCTGCGAGCCATGATGCGAGCCGCTGCTGGTGCCGCTGGTTAAAGCCGTGCCTGCAGAGACCGTCACCGATCCCGCCGCCGCTGGCTGCAGGCCAGATTGTCCCGCCTGCGACCAGAACTCCGCCGTGGTGCCTGCGGTGCCATGGATAGCCTCATAGCTGGCTTTCAAGCTCGCCGTTCGGCGGCCCTGCTGCATTTGCTGCGTGGCCACAATCGCCTGACTGGCGGCCGCTGCAATGGCACTAGATGCAGCTGCTCCGCCGCCCAGTTGCTGCAGGTTGTACGTGACCGTGGCTCCTCCTCCAGCGCCGCCGCTAGAGTGGGCGTGGCCTGTTGTGACCACGGGCGTGGCGTTCCCTGCCGTTGGAGTAGCTCCTCCCGCTGTTCCTCCTCCTCCCGAGCTGCTCAGCACACTGTGCGCCAGATTCGTGGGCAGCTGCCGCACTAGAGAGCCAGCTGCCGAGGTTAGAGAGCCACCCACCAGGCTGCCACTTCCACCGGCGACAGCCACTGGCAAACTGAGATGCGTGGCGGCAATGCTGCCTATGTGAGAGGCGGAGGCCTGCGCCTGGGCGGATGCAACATGACCGGCAACTGCAGCGCCCACTGGTCCACCGGCGGAGGAAGAGGAGGAAACCGATCCTGCGGCGGCACCCGAATTAACCACCGGCAGCGAGTGATTCAGATTGGCGCGCTTCTCCTGGACGGGCACGGTGCAAATGGTCTCGCGGCGCTTCTCCAGCTTGCGGTGCCGCTGGCTGGAGCTCAGCTGGCCGGAGCCGGAGATGCTGGACAGCGAGGCGACGCCCACGGCGGCTCCGCTGACCAGGGAAATGGCCGCGGAGGATGGCCCGGTGGCGGCACTGGAAGAGTGACCGGTGGAGCTGCTGTTCACGAGACTATTGGCCGAACTATTGCCGCCATAGTAGCGATTCTCCTTTTGATTCATGCTCAGCAGAAGGGCAGTGGCGGCTGTGGAGTTGCCGTCCAGCTCCAGGGAGCGCCGCTCGAGGATCTCGGTGATGCCGTTGTTGTCCGCCTCCAGCTCGCACTTGAACTTGAAGAGCTCGCTGTCCAGGCGGCGCAGGTAGCGCTCCACCAGCTCGTGAATCTGCGTGGCAATGGCCACCTTCTCGTCGGCGTCCTCCATCACCTTGAAGTACTCGCCGCGCAGGCTGTGGAACTCCGTGTCCATCGACTCGTGCTGCAGCTCGTCGCGCTTGCACTGCTTGAAGAACAGGTGCGCCTTCTTGTCCAGCGAGTCCATGTTGTCTGGGGATTGGGATTAAGTGATTTAGTTGGTAAACTGCGATTCAGATTCCGGCAATCGGTTTATTCACTCTGAACGGCCAGATCCAGTTCGCGCATCTCCGTGAAGCGGTCGCGCAGCTCCTGCGGCAGGTGCTCGATCATCTCCAGGTAGTCCTCCAGGTAAAGCATGATGGGCGATGAAAAGCGCCGCAGGAAATGCCAGGAATTTATATTTTCAACTCTTTTGCTGTTTTTTATTTTTCGGAAAATGCGTAAGTGTGACCAGAGGGGGTAACGGCTTTAATGCGATGTGAAACAGAGGAATTTGGCATACAGGGGGGCTCTCTAATTAGGGGTATTCCTTAAATTGTTAAATTTCTGCTGTTGCATACAAATTCAGTTTCCAAAAATTTCAGAAATTCAATTCAATTCGAATATAAATTACTATACGTTTTCAAGGTTTAAACTTTAAAGATAGTCCTAAGTTACAAAAAATAGTTAATCTACAATTCAGAGTGTTAATTTTAAAATTTAAACAATAAAAGACATTTTTAAACTATTAGTAAAAAAAAAAATAGTTAATCTACAGTTCAGATTGGTAATTTCTAAAAAAAAACAACAAAATACATTTTTAAACTATTTATAAAAAAAGTTTTTGTTTCAAACGTTCAAATTTGTAATTAAAGTAAAGTAAAGTAAGTAAAGTTTAGAAGAAAGGATATATGGTAATGGTTTCTATAATTTTAAAGGTTACTATTTTATATTTGAACGCTAAAATTAGTTTAATTTGAAACATTTCATTGCCGAGTTCTTTGGTAAACCTATGTATCTCCTCATAATACTTTACCAAAAAAAAAAATTCTTTAACCGAAATAATAAATATTTTTACCAAAAGCGACATTAAAATAAGAAATTCTTTAAACTAAATAATAAATACTTTTACCAACAACGACATTAAAAAAATTAAAATATAAAAAATTTAAGATGCAGCATAAGCTTGAAAATGCAAAGTAATTTAAGGACTCAAATAAAAGTAGGTTAAATTTCTAGATTTGAATAAAAAAACAATTTTTCCAAGATATATACATATTACAAGATTGAATTAAGTTCAACACCTCGAAATAATAGCAAATGATACATAGTTTTAACTGCATCGTTTTATTTCACTTATTGCTGGGCAAAACGCATTTTGCCCGTTCTTGGGTTTGTGGATCATGGATTCATGGATATCGGGGACACATTTCACATTTCAGCCACCCAACTCGGTGACCACACGTCATATTCGTCATATATTCACACACACAATGTTCTCCCTACGTAAATGTAAAAAGCTTAGCTTAAACTTAACGAAAGTATTTTAGATTTTAGAGTTTAGAGTCGGTCCGTACGGCTAGATTAACTTATTCGAATGCGAGGGGCGCGGGGAATGATCCAAGGAGCGCGGAGCGGGCTGAAGAAACAAGTCAAGCTGCTAAATGCATCCAGTTTTACTAGCTAGCGGAAGAGGTGATCATCTGGTGGAAGGTGGTAGCGGGACTAAGATTGGGAACCCAGCAAGCCAGGGCAATACTAAACGTAATCATAATACATAATAAAATGCTAATCCCTAGTCACACAGCTCATTCCCCCTTTTATCCCGCCACCAATCCCACTCCTATATGGACATCTCGGGCATTTTGTTGTGCTTGAGGTTGATCTGCACGCTCTGCGAGAACATCTTGATGATGCCGTAGTGATCGTTGGCGTAGACCTTCAGGAAGCTGGGCACGTTCTTGTGCAGCAGCTCGTGGCAGAATTGCGGGTACTTCTGGTACGCCGGCTGCTTGTCATCCCAAATGGCCAGCAGGTCGCAATCGTCGCTAGAGGAGGGTAGAATCTGATTAGATAAGGCAAATCTTCAAGAGCTGCTTGTCTACCAACCGCACTTCATTGGTGCACTCGTCCAGCGATATGATCAAGTACTGGATCTTCAGCTGGGCGCACTGATTGTAGATATCCGACGACTGCTGGCGACTGTACACCGAGTACACGTGCTCCGTGCGGTCCCTGCAAAGTAATTCACGGTGGAACGATAAGCTATCTCGCTCTTATCGGGACTGCAAACGCTACTCACGCCATCTGACGCATCTCGATGTGCGCATGGTTGACTATCGGCCGCCTGGTGGTCAAATGCACGGTGCCAATGATCTCCACGGGCCCGGCGAAGACCGCATCCCGTTCCGTGTTCAGCTTGATCCACTCGAGCATGCTGTCCAGGTCATCGCCGCTCTGGGCGAAGCGCGTGGGGAAGTACTCCTCGCGAATGTTCTGGTTAGAAGGGGGGAAATCTCATTAATAGGAATTAGAATCATTCAATTTTTGTTTTATCATAGTGCCATGAAATTTCTGATTTGTTTAATTCCATTCTATGTGAAATAAATTGAATGTTTTTCTAATTCATTTCGAATTGAATGAATAAATGAATAACTTTTATGAATTTTTTAAATTTGTCAGATTTTTTTGTGGTTTCTTTTGAGAACAAAAACCGAAAAATTTTTAACAAATCAATGTTAACTGCTTAGAAAATAATATTCATGCAGATTTAATCACAAAATGATGGCCCTCATTTCTTGAAAAAGCCCAAATTAAATTCAAATAACAAATAGGAATGTGTCTAATTCGACACCTTGAAAAAGCCAAAATTAAGCTGAAAATGTAAATCCACAATTATTAAATAAAAATGTATCTAATTCGACACCTCAGACGAGCTGAAGGCCTTATCTGCTATAGCTCTTAATCTTAGTTAGCTTATAGTTGTAACTTTAAATTTGCTTTATATAAATAAATAAATAAATAAAATGGCCCTTTCTTCTTTAAAAGAAATTGTCGTTTGAATTATTTCGGAAACTCAAAATTCCAATTAATTCAATTCTATTAAACTCAAAATTCAAATTAATTCATTCATAAGAAACAAAAAAATTCAAAATAATTCATTGAATCTTAAGCTTTATAGGTTCATCTTACCACCATTCCCGGATCAAACATGCTGAGCAGGAAGACGGCCAGCGAGACCGACCAGAAGATGTTTCGCTGGCGGTGATACCACACTTTGGAGCAAACGGTGGGCGCTATCACGCAGCCCTGCGTGAAGCTGAGGAAGAAGAGCTTGCGCACGGCCAGCCCGATGACAGTGAAGACGAGCATCTGCAGGAAGCTGTACATGTAGTGCAGATTGAGGATCTGCGAATTTGTGGTGGGCACCACGGAGCTTCGTCTGGAGGCGCTGCGCTTCTGCTTTGGCTTCTCCTTCTCCTCCTTGGACGGCAGATCTGATGCTGGTTCAGCTTCAGCTTGCTCCTCCTCCTCTTTCTCCTTCTCCTTTTCCTCCTCCTTGCTTCCCTGCGCCCGCTCCTTTCGCTGCTTGTCGCTGTTGCGATGAATCTGCGCCCTCAGCCGCCGGATGTCCTGCATAAAGTCATCCCGTGCCGGCGGCTGCTCCTTGCGCAGGCGCTCCTGGGCCCGCTTATACCGCTCGTAGTCATAATCACAGCTCTCGAGCAGCCGGAAGCACTGCTGCAGCTGCTGCTCCGTCTGCCGATTGGACATGTCGCCCATGGAGACGCGATGCTCCTCGAGAAAGTCCTCCAGCACATAGTTGCGGGCCCTTTCGCGCTGCTCCTCGCTAGCTGCCGTGGCAGGGGCGCCACTCTTGCGCCAGCGGCGAAAGAACATGGCCAGCATGACCACGCCGTACATGCAGTACGGCTTCACGATCATCGTCTTGACCAGCTGCCAAAGTTCCGACCAGGCGATGCGCTCGTACAGCGGATTGCAGGCGGACAGGTGGGCCACAAAGCCCACGTTCACCTGCAGCGCCCAGTGGGCCCACAGATCGCAGTAGTGCGTGTGCGCCCCATCCGGCACATTGACCACGCCGGCCCGATTGAGCAGCTCCAGCAGCTTGGTCTGCATGCTGCTCGCAAAGAGCTGCGCCAGCAGGATGAACTTCAGCGAGAAGTAGTCGTTCTGCAGCGGATCGTGGGCATGACCCAGCCGCCTGCTGCGCACCGCCCTTAGCTGACGCACCACTGTGATGAGGAAAAGCGACAGCGAGACGCTGAGCTGCCAGGTGAAGAGCAGCTGGCTGTTGCCGTGCGACATCACAAAGGCCAGAGCGTGGCCAAGAAGGTGAGATAAGGAGTAGTCTAAAGCAAAGGCGTTGGCCAGTCCGGTGGGCAAAGCGCTGACGTTCCAGGAGGTCATCACAATCAGTATTTGCGTGGTGAAGATGAAGGTGGAGAACTGCCAGGAGAGCAAAGCGCAGGCGGTGAACAGCGACATGGCAAAGATCTGGGTTACAAGAGGAACTATTCATTAACTAGCTAAAACTAGTAGCCTTCCTTTGATTACCATAAACAGCCGCGACGTGTGCTTCTGCCGATGGATGATCCTGCCAATGCAGATGCACAGATAGAACATCTGCAGGAAGATGAAGGGAAAGGCAAAGTTCTCGCGCGCCAGCGGACGCTCGTAGATCTTGGCCACGAAGCTGTGGAACATCAAATACGAGATCACGCCGTAGATACCACCGAAAACATTCTCGCTGAGCAGCGTGCCGTAGAGATAGAGGACCAGCAGGGTCACGCCGCCCATCAGCCAGACGAACTCCAGGTAGAACTGCATGGGCTGCACCATCGGATTGAAGCCGGCGCGCACCACATGGTAGAAGTAGCTATCAAGTAGAGGATTAGCCTCGAAGAAGAAGATCCTAGAGACAAACTTACGCCGTGACCAACTCGGGCAGCACATAGAAGCGCTGCAGCACATTCACGCTGTGCGGATACTCAATGTCCGTGATGTTCTTGAGCTGCTCATAGCCGTGCCAGAAATCTGGGCCATCGGCCAGCCGCTTGTAGAACGCATAATACAAAGCATCCTCGCGCCGCAGGAGCGCCTCCCGTTCTAGCTGATTCAGCTGCTGGATGTTCGTGCGCGTCTCGAAGATCACGCGCACATGCTGCACGTACAGGAAGAAGAAGCCGGAACCTGCAGGAGGGGATTAGGATTGGGATTAGGATTAGGTATCTCGGTGGAAAAGGCAATTGGAAAAGGATTCCTGACATCTGCCGGTTGGCAATGGACTTGCACTCACCGATTAGCGCGTGCGACAGGATCACGTACAGATTGGGCTCGCGCATCGTGGTGGCTCTGCTGCTGCTGCGATTCACTGCGTCTCACTGGCTCAGAGTGCCAATCATTATTTATTTCACAACGATTATTATGGCTCCCCTTTTTTCACAATAAAAAACAGACACCGATCAGCTGTTCTTTTCGGAGCGGCCCTGCAGTGTGACCGTTGGGGGGCGCTGGCGAAATACCCCGGGGTCACACTGCGAGGAATTTTTGGTGGAAATATTAAATCTGGATTTATTTGCTGTTTTTGTTCCTTCGGTTTTTAATTGTGTAAGCAGAAATGTAGGAATTTCTCCGTCCCAGATATGTACCTAAGTAATATACCCATCGAATCAATTAAGGTACTTACGGATTGTATTTGATTATTTAAAATTGGCCAAATACTACACTGTTTCATTTACGACTCTTTTTCCCACAAAAGCTTACTTCTTTATTAAATTACAATAAAATAAGGATATAAAATGGTACTTCACTTTAAGGTCAATTGTTCAAAAAAGTAATACAACAAAATACATATCAAGGTACCTGGTACTCGGAGAAATAACTACTTTTGTACCTTAGTAAGGTATTTATTTTTTCAAAAACTAGTTTCTTTCCCAACACTGCAAGTAAAGGACACTTTTTAGCAACACTGTTCAGGCAAAGGGGTATTTTTGCCAGAAATGTCCTTAATAAGTATTTTCACATCCTTCAATAGTGAAATACTGATATCCCTGCCCCAGCACAGTGGTATTTTCAGAGGCATCTGGCTACGGTCCTACCAATCGCTCCAGGCAATTTAATTTCTCCAGCGGAAAATCAGAAACCCCCGGAAAAACAAAGGAAAAACCATGAACCGCTACGCGGTAAGCTCGCTGGTGGGCCAGGGCTCCTTCGGCTGCGTGTACAAGGCGACGCGCAAGGAGGACAGCAAGGTGGTGGCCATCAAAGTGATCTCCAAGGTGAGTGGGCGGAAAGCCCAAAAGCAGAAGCAACAAGTTCCCAACTAACTTCTGCATCCTGCAGCGCGGAAGAGCCACCAAGGAGCTGAAGAATCTGCGCAGGGAGTGCGACATCCAGGCGCGGCTGAAGCATCCGCATGTCATCGAGATGATCGAGTCCTTTGAGTCCAAGACGGACCTCTTTGTGGTCACCGAATTCGCGCTGATGGACCTGCATCGCTATCTCTCCTACAATGGGGCCATGGGCGAGGAGCCGGCTCGCCGGGTCACCGGTCATCTGGTGTCCGCCCTGTACTACCTGCACTCGAATCGCATCCTGCACCGCGATCTCAAGCCGCAGAACGTGCTGCTCGACAAGAATATGCACGCCAAGCTCTGCGACTTTGGCCTGGCCCGCAACATGACCCTGGGCACCCATGTGCTCACCTCGATCAAGGGCACACCGCTGTACATGGCGCCCGAGCTGCTGGCGGAGCAGCCGTACGACCATCATGCGGACATGTGGTCCCTGGGCTGCATCGCCTACGAGAGCATGGCCGGCCAGCCGCCGTTCTGCGCCAGCTCCATCCTGCATCTGGTCAAGATGATCAAGCACGAGGACGTCAAGTGGCCCAGCACGCTGACCAGCGAGTGCCGCTCCTTTCTGCAGGGCCTGCTCGAGAAGGATCCCGGCATGCGGATCTCGTGGACGCAGCTGCTGTGCCATCCGTTCGTCGAGGGACGCATCTTTATCGCTGATTTGCAGGCGGAGGCGGCCAAGGAGTCGCCGTTCACCAATCCCAGAGTACCAAAAACCAGGTCCTCCCATCGAGAGCCTGGTGATCTGCACGAAGCTCTGGCCGCCCTGAACTTTGGCGAGGCGCGTGGCGAGCATTTGAGCACCTCGCGCGACAGCATCAATGCCATTGCGCCCAGCGATGTGGAGCATCTGGAGACGGATGTGGAGGACAACATGCAGCGTGTGGTTGTTCCTTTTGCCGACGTATCCTTCAGGGATCTGTCTGGTGTAAGGAATGGCCTGCCGGTGGTCCACCAGCCGCTGGTCAATTCGCACACCTGCTTCGTCAGCGGCAACTCGAACATGATACTCAATCACATGAACGACAACTTTGACTTTCAGGCCTCGCTGCGCGGCGTGGCGGCCAAGCCGAAGGTGGTTCCTCCTCCGCCGCCGGCAGTGCGGCAGTCGCGCAGCAAGGATCTGGAGAAGCGCAAGCTGAGCCAGAACCTCGACAATTTCTCAGTGCGCCTGGGCCAAAGCGGCGACACCCAGGAGAAGCTTAACCAGGGCAAGAAGTCTCCTCAGCCAGCGCAGCAGCAGCCGCCACATCCACAGCATTCAATGCACTCCACCAACGAGGAGAAGCTGAGCAGCGAGTGAGTTATCTCCGCATTCCTTAGCTTCCCAGCTTATTAACTTTTCCCCCCTGTTAACAGCAACACGCCGCCCTGCCTTTTGCCCGGTTGGGACAGCTGCGACGAGTCGCAGAGTCCGCCCATCGAGAACGACGAGTGGCTGGCCTTCCTCAACCGTTCGGTGCAGGAGCTGCTCGACGGCGAACTGGACTCACTGAAGCAGCACAATTTGGTTAGCATCATTGTGGCCCCGCTGCGCAACTCGAAGGCCATTCCGCGGGTGCTCAAAAGCGTGGCCCAGCTGCTGTCGCTGCCCTTTGTGCTGGTCGACCCCGTGATGATCGTCGATCTGGAGCTGATACGCAACGTGTACGTGGACGTCAAGCTGGTGCCCAATCTCATGTACGCCTGCAAGCTGCTGTTGTCGCACAAGCAGCTCTCCGATTCCGCGGCCTCCGTTCCGTTGACGGTGGGCTCGCTTAGCCGAACGCTGCGCAGCATTCCGGAACTCACGCTCGAGGAGCTGCAGACGGCCTGCAGTCTGTACGAGCTGGTCTGCCATTTGGTGCACCTGCAGCAGCAGTTTCTCACCCAGTTCTGCGATGCCGTGGCCATTCTGGCTGCCGGCGATCTCTTTCTGAACTTCCTAACCCACGGTAGGCATAACAAGAAAGGAAGCTAGCTTCGGCCAGCCGAAGCTTATATACCCTTGCAGATCATTCCTATTAATTTACAAAAATGTTAAACCTATTATTTCACATTAATTTTTCGATCGTTTATATGGCAGCTATATGATATCCCAGTCATATCCCAGAGTAGAAGAGAATGTAATAAATATCAACAAAGATATAATTTTTTTCCTATTAATTTCCATTTAATCTTTCGACCGTTCCTATGGCAGCTATATGATATAGTGATCCGATTTTTTAAATATTTAATTCGAAATTCAGAAATATATAAAAAATAATATTCCCAAGAGTAGAACGTAATATTTGAAAAAACACCGAAGCTAGAATTTTTTTTAACGTTTTTTTCCGATCCTTCCTATGGAAGCTATAAGATATAGTTGTCCGATCCGGTCGGTTCCGACATATATACTACCTGCAATAGAAAGAAGACTTTTGGGAAAGTTTCATTCCGATAGCTCAAAAACTGAGAGACTAGTTTGCGTAGAAACAGACAAACGGACGGACAGACGAACAAACGGGCAGACGGACAAGTCTAGATCGACTCGTCTAATGATGCTGATCAAGAATATATATACTTTATGGGGTCGAAAACGTCTCCTTTACTGCGTTGCAAACTTCTGACTGAAATCATAATACACTCTGCAAGGGTATAAAAAGGCAAAGAAATTCGTTGACTAATCATTTGTTTTCCCCACAGATTTCCGGCACTCGGACTCGGACTCCGCCTCCGTGCGCCTGGCCGGCTGCATGCTGGCTTTGATGGGCTGTGTGCTGCGCGAGCTGCCCGAAAACGCCGAGCTGGTGGAGCGGATCGTCTTCAATCCGCGCCTGAACTTCGCCACGCTGCTGCAGAGCCGCCACCATTTGCTGAGGCAGCGCTCCTGCCAGCTGCTGCGCCTGCTGGCCCGCTTCAGCCTGCGCGGCGTGCAGCGCATTTGGAACGGCGAGCTAAGGTTCGCGCTGCAGCAGCTCTCCGAGCACCACTCGTACCCCGCACTCCGCGGGGAGGCCGCCCAGACCCTCGACGAGATTAGCCACTTCACTTTCTTCGTCACCTAGCCGGCACTTTCGTTTATTGGCCTCAGGCGTCTCTATCCGAGCAGATCCTGAATGTTGCCCTGGAAGTAGTCGAGCAGCTCGTCGATGTAGCCACCGAAGCGATCGAAGTTGAGTAGGTAGTCCTCGCCGCAGTCCTGTTCGTACATCTCGTTTAGCTTGGACACATCCTTGTCGGAGAGGCCGCGTCGCTGGCCCAGCGAGGCGTACGGATCCTGGCGGCGAAGGAGAGAAATGAGCGGTGGAATGTGGATGGAATATCATCATTAACTATTAACTCTCCTGATCTTTCCTTTTCGAGAATCATTGAAAAATCTAAACAACTTCGAACTCATTCTTCCTTCAACTGAAACTGGTGGCAAAATCATCAATACCCATTGAATTTCCCAAGGAAACAATTAAAAAACTTCGAATGAATAACATTCGTTGACCCTTTATGTTATATCATAACCTAGGAATACAACCCTCAACAAGGAATTATTCTGCTTTTCCACTCTAGATATTCCTAGTCTAGTTATACGTCTTGACTCTTGTATGAATATAGGATTTCTCGTAACTGATTAACCTCAAATCTGGATTTATTTGAAAAAGTTATGGCAACCTAAACGTAATTTAATATATAAATTTATTAAATGTTGCTAGGAATGACTTTTTAAAATAAATGCAGTCAGCAAGTGTCATAAGACCTTAAGAACATTAAAGTTCATTATCGGTAAATTCGTTTGAATGTTTCTATTACTGTTTAAATAAATTCTAAGATGATCTATGAATTCTTTCGTTCTCAATAATATATGTAGATATATACTGATGTACTATACTTCCTAGATTTCAATATGATTATCTAATAATTCTTGTACTATGCTTCCTGGATTTCAATATAATAATCTGATATTAATAACTGTTGATGTACAATATTTGATTGAATTATTTGTAACCCTAAGAGTAAATGTTAAAATATCCTTGCTAAGATAAGTCGCCTATAATAGGGAAATTAACTGAGTGTCTATGCAATATGTCCATTAATGTGAAGTATTATTATTGAATGGTATATGTTAATCTCTCTGAAGCTAAATGATAAGCGAAAATACTCAATTATATATGTATATGTTCTACCAAACAGACTTTATAAGCTATTTTGTGATCCTTTTAAGATTTCCTACTCACCAGTGGCTCGATGGTGGGTTTGCCGTTCTTGCTGAACGCCCGGGAGCTGTAGTGCATGACGCTCTGGTAGTCGTACTCCACTCCAAAGTTGGTGATGTGGGTGCGGGCGTACTTGTTGAAGTTGTGCGCGTGTCCGTCGAGGATGTTCTCCCAGTTGATCTTGACGTACTCATCCCGCTCCGTGGCGCTTTGCTGGTGATAGAAGCCAAGGGCGTGCAGCAGTTCGTGGACCACAACGCCATGGGTCACGCACTTGGGCGTGTTCAAATTGAGCACCTGGCCACCGGAACGCCTTCCTACGCTCGACCAGCAGCCCGAGTAGTTGCCCTTGATGAGGAGCCAGTGCTTGTCGCCCTGCTCGTACGGCCGGAAGCGAATGCAGGTGCGATCGTGGTACTCCTTGAAGGCCTTCAGTATCACCATAGTCTGGTTGGCGGCTGTTTTTGGTGAATTATTATCTGTATCTGTGTCTGAAATCTGTATCTGGTCAACTCACTGAAATCCTGAGGGTCTATGTAGAAGGGCACGGCGGCTTCTGGCCAGGTGAGGCGCTCGTTGAGCAGCCCGTTCCTCAGCAGCTCGCGGTGCAGCATGATGTCGCCCTCGAAGAGGCCGCAATGCTCCCAGATGTTCGTCTCGCTCTCCTCCGTCCAGAAGTTGAAGGCGGGACCTGAAAGAGGCGAACATTTAGGACTTAGGCTTTTTTTTACCAATTTTGTTTGCTAGAAATGGCAAAAAGAAATTGTTCCAAGTTTAAATGCCAAATGATTTGGAATTTTATACCATATTTTGATCATTATTTCTATTGTTTCCATCAATAAACAGTTTTTTTTTTTGATAATAATGAGGATCTGAGCTTTAAATTGAAATATGAATTTTTATACCTTGTATTATGATTTCAGTCAGAAGTTTGCAACGCAGTTAAGGAGACGTTTCCGACCCCGAAAAGTATATATATTCTTGATCAGCCATGTCTGTCTGTCCGTCTGTCTGTCCGTTTCTACGCAAACTAGTCTTTCCAAAAGTCTTCTTTCTATTGCAGGTAGTATATAAGTCGGAACCGGCCGGATCGGACAACTATATCTTTTAGCTTCCATAGGAAAGATCGAAAAAAAAAACTTAAAAAAATTCTAGCTTTGGTGTTTTTTAAAATAATAACTTCTTCTCTTGGGAATGTTATTTTTAAAATATTTAGAAATTTCGAATAAAATTTAGAACAAATAGGGACACTATATCATATAGCTGCCCTAGGAACGGTCGGAAAATTAAATGCAAATTAATAGAAAACAAGAGAGAACGCTATAGTCGGGTTGGTGTCCCGACTATCTAATAACCGTCACTCAGCTAAAGGGAGTGCGAACGCTGTACTGGATAGTGCGAGGGAAATAGATATATAAATTTTGATTGCGTATAACTTTTTAATGAATGGTCAGATTTGAAAAATGTCTTCTACATTTCGATAGGTATAAATATACACAACAAAATTGCATTTATACTTCTCGGAAATCTTTAAAAATGTGGGCGCAGGACCCATTTTAAAATCGTTAGTGGGCGATTGAGGGCGTTAGAGGGGGCGTGGCGCTCGGCTAAAATAAACTTGTGCTGCGTAGGAAGCCAAAGAATATGTGTGGGAAATCTCAACCTTCTAGCTTTTGTAGTTTCTGAGATCTCAGCGTTCATACAGACGGTCAGACGGAGAGACGGACAGACGGACATGGCTAGATCGACTCGGCTAGTGCCCCTGATCAAGAATATATATACTTTATGGGGTCGGAAACGCTTCCTTCTAGCTGTTACATACTTTTGCACGAATCTAGTATACCCTTTTACTCTACGAGTAACAGGTATAAAAATTATTGCTTCGTTACTTTTTATTGTATTCTCTTCTACTCCAGGATATGACTCTTTTTAAATATTTCCGAATTTCGGTTTTAATTTGATCAAAATTGAACTACTATATCATATAGCCGCCATAGGAACGATTGGAAAATTAATGAGAAATAATGGAATATTGAACATTTTTGCGATTTGTTAATTAATAGGAAGGATCTGCAAGGGTATATAAGCTTCGGCTGGCCGAATCTAGCTTCCTTTCTTGTTCTTAGTGTTTTTTTTTTTAATGTAATTTAACCAAAAATGATGGCAAATCAAAAAGGGCTCTCTGATTTGAACAGCTTACGACTTAATAAATTGATCCCCATCACTTGTTGGCTGATTTGGAAAAAATATTATTTCGACCAATTTTTGCATTTTTAGATAAGGGGTAACATCACGATTTTTTCCAAAAAATGGCCAAAAATTAAAATGTTCACGTTTAAATGCCTATTGATTGGGGGTTCAATTACGAGCTGCATATTCGGACTATTATTTCCTTTGTTTTGGCCAAAAACCCAATTTCTTTGAATATAAAATCAGGATCTGTGTTTTTGCTTGAAATGGGAAATTTTCTTAATTTCTCTTTGCTCTAACTTGGCCAAAAATGATCCCAAATCTAAATGGCTTACTGTTTTGTTAAGAAGGCAAATCAATTGGGATTTTAGTTCCGAGGCAACAATTTGAACCATTGTGGCTTTGTTTTGGTCAAAATAATGATCTTTTGGGGAAAAATTACGATTCCGAATTGGATTTTTTTACTCCGAATCCACTCTGGTACCTACTGTTGTGCCGTCGCAGCATCTGCATGTTGGCGCCCCACCTCGGCGAGGGCGGCACAGCGGGCTGTCCGCGAAAATGGGCCTTCCTCGTGGGCAGTGACTCCGTTTCCAGCTCCGTTCCCGCTCCCTCTGGCTTCTCCGCCTCCAAAGTGGCGCCCAGGGCCAAGGCCACGAGGTAAAAACAAATCAAACTGGGAGCGATGAGCGCGCTTCTCGGCATTGTTGGGCTAAAAGAAACGCCGGCTAAGTCGCGTCGAGGCTTTTATATAAAAATGCGTAATGGGGCGGTGGCAATTCGACAAGTCGACAATTCGGCTCCACAATTTCAATTGAAAGTACGAGTGCGACTGACGCCCACGCCGCCGTTTTTTTTGGATTCGGATTTATGCATAACATAACGGATTTATTGGGCTCTCTCTTTCGGCGCGCATTCGAAATGCCCGCGCCTCGGCATTTACGGCTTTTGATTTCAAATTTAACTGGGATATTGGGTTATCAGAGAGGCGACGAGGCGCATATGAAAATAGCACAGTCACTTCCAGTCGCTTCCCTTCCTGTCCAGCAAAGGCTTTTGTCCTATCTCAAAGTTCGATTTCGATCTCACGTCCGCAAAGAGAGACCACAAAATATATAAATAACAAGAGAAAACTCCACCTCGACTATCAGATACCCGTTACTCAGCTAAAGGAATTGCGAGAAAGATGCAGATATGCAACAAAGCTACTGCTTGCATTATACTTCCATTATTAACTCATAACTTTATAATGAATGGTCCGATTTGAAATTTTTTTCTACATTTCGATAGGTATTAAGACGGACAGACGGACATGGCTAGATCGATCAAAAATATATATTCTTAATAGATTCGGAAACATACTTTCCGACGAAAACAATATACCCTTTTACTATACGAGTAACGGGTATGAAAACACAAATAAAACGCAGTGGAAAGCCGGGAGTTCTTTGACCCCCATTTGGCCATCGATTGATGGCCAATGACAGTTGGCATCTGGATCTGTTGGATGGCAAAAGTGAACGCTGTCTGGTATCTGGCATCTTCTCCCTTTCTCTGACCCAGACCCGGATGGTTGGATGGTTGGATGGATGGATGGATGGTCCGCCAGATGAGTGGGTCACTGCAGTCGCAGTCGTCCAAGTAGGTCAACGTCAACCCACAAGTGGCACCCACAAGAGATCAACAGAACACGATTTCCTCAAGTAACGCAATTTATTCGCCAGCCCAACATTTCAGCTATGCATTTCAGGCAATCTGCGAGCCGCAATCTAGATCCACCAGCGGCTTTCTTGCGCAGCTCGGCAATTACCGGCGATGGTAACGATCGAGTGCCACACATTTCTTTCTAACTAGTTTCTGCTGCTGCCGCTGCACTTTCACTACGAAATTGCACCAAAATCTAAGCCACATTGCATGGGGATTTTCGAGAACATTTTGGTCATGGCAACTGGAAATGCCTGGCCAAAATCAGCGGATGCAGAGAGACTCCAGCCTCAGCGACTCCCAACTCCCAGCTCCAAACTGCAAACTGCCAACTCCACAACAACATCAGGGGCAACGACAGCAAAACACATTTGACGTACTATCTGCGATGTACTTGATCTTTGTCGAAAACTTGACACACTTTTTTCGGTCAACGGCTGCTGGCGGCAGCAAATGGCAACGACTTCCAGCTCGGTTGCGGAAAATTCGAGGGAAATCGCCTGGCTGTACACAAAAAACATTCATCCCAATTGAGTAAAATTTGTTAATATTTTATAAGAAATTCGTATTGGATTTTATGTGTTATTTTGTCAAAAATGTATGAAAAAATTGTTTACAAAATAAAACAAGAGGGAACGTTATAGTCGGATGCCCCGACTATCAGATACCCGTTACTCAGGTAAAGGGAGTGCGAGGGAGATGGAGATAGAGATAGAACACGTTGATCACGCATAACTTTTTAACGAATGGTCCGATTTGAAAAATTTCTTCTACATTTCGATAGGTATTGATAAACACAATAAAACTGCATTTTTACTTTTCCAAAATATTAAAATTTTTAAAATCGTATATAAGCGATGGTGGGCGTTAGAGGGGGCGTGGCACCATTTTGAAACAAACTTGCGCTGCGTAGGAATTCCTAGAATCTGCATGCAAAATGCCAATCTTCTAGCTTCTATAGTTTCCGAGATCTCAGCGTTCATACGGACAGACGGACAGACAGACAGACGGACAGACGGACAGACGGACATGGCTAGATCGACTCGGCTAGTGATCCTGATCAAGAATATATATACTTTATGGGGTCGGAAACGCTTCCTTCTACCTGTTACATACTTTTGCACGAATACAATATACCCTTTTACTCTACGAGTAACGGGTATAAATATTTCCTTTTTATGTAAAATTGGTGTAAATTTAGTTTAAGATTTTAATGATATTTTGGTTACAACATTTTTAAAATATTTGAGAACAATTATTTGATTTAAAAAAAATTGTGTAAAATGATGTTAATTATTTTATTTTTCATTTAAATGTACTATGTTTTAAAGTTTTTTGTGTAAATTTCAAGTTAGTTAATAATGATATTTTGTTATAATTTTTTAAATATTTGAGAGCATTCATTTGATAAAATAAAATTTTATAAAATATGACTTCTTATTGTCAAATATAATATTTGGAATGAAAATGTACGAGTTATTTTGTATTTTGTTTTATATTTATTAAAATACATAAATTAAAATTTCATAATAATAAGATACTTCTAATTTTATTTACCATCATAATTTTTAAGTACAAATTCAAATGATTCTCGCATTTTTGTTCTGTGTAGCTAGCAAAATAGCAAACTTATAGTCATCGCGTCATCAGCATCGTTTCAAATGCAATTTTAAATTGAGAAAGTTTAGCGGTCAGAGATTGTGAATTTGCGACAAGCGGGGCCGCAGATGCAAAGATCTATGGAAGCAGAAATGCAGAGATGCAGAGTCTTTGGCTCCAGGCGGTAATTGACTTCCTGCATGGCGCTGAGAACGCTGGATTCTTTCGGTTTTGGTGGGTGGTTTGCATGGATAGTTGCATAGATAGATAGCAGTTCTTGGCCTCTGTTGTTTTTCACTTTTTTGCCAGCATTCAGCGCAGTCACTTTCTGCGCCACTGGCCCAGAAACGGGCCTTGTTTGCGGAGCCATCGAGAGCTAGGAGTTGGAGTCAAGTCGGTTCCTCTCCAGAGATCACAGATTTCTCCACTTCCTTTTGGCTGACTGCCAAAGCTGCTGACACAGAACTGTCATATCGAAAGCCAAAAGGGGAATATCAAAGCGAAAACAAAACGAAACAAAAGGGTTTTCGAACCAGAAATGCCGGACAGCTGCTGGGATTTCACCGGTCGGAAAAGCGGATTGGTTTTCCCCTGTCTTCTTGTTGTTACGGCACCAAAACGCAACGAGAAAAACATAAATAAATCAAATGAAATCCGCAACTGCAGCAACGCGTTGCAACGGCAACAACTTGCCAAAACAAACCCAAACTGAGAGAGACCCAAACTGAAAACCAGTTGCGGCAGTTTCCTTCCGGAATCAATTATTTTTCACTTTGCTGATTTTTCACGTTCATGGCCACAAATGTGCAGCAGCGGCAGCAGCAACAACTTGCAACAGCGTCAGTGTGTCAGTAGTGGCAGCCACTAAAAGCCCCACTAAAAGCCGGCAAAATCACTTGACTGACTGCCTTGTTTTGTGTTTTGTATTTTGTAGCTTTTGTTGCTTGTATTTTGTATTTTCTGTGTGTGCGTTTTTGCACATTTTTTTGGGCTGATGCCACCTTTTAGCTCCTTTTAGCTGGCTTTTCGTGTGTGCTTTTCCGAATGCATCGCATCGTATCGCTTCCCCTTTTGCGTTAAGTGACGGACTGGTAAGACTTTTCCAAGAAATTTCTATCGCCAACTCGACATTAGTTTAATTGGTGAAATTGGCTTCGGTTTTTGATTTGGATTTGGATTTTTGTGATGCGATGTTGCTTTTGTTTTCCACAACGGTCCCAAAGTCGCATTGGGCGAAAGTATCTGCCGGCCATATTCGGTCATCCAGATGGGAGCCTGATTAATGAGACTTTGGCAAACAGTTGGGGGACTCCCCGACTCTGTAATATAGCCTAAAGGGCAGATAATTTGTAGGCATCTTCCCCGTGGCTAGAAATTAGCCACATTATTTTAAAAGGGAATGAACAAGTGAGAACTAACTAAGTCTTTTTTCCAGACCATGTAATTTTATGTATATGAACGTAACAATCTGAATAAGTAAGATAATCCGATAAAAGTGTTATTATACAAATTAAAATAAAATTGCTTTTAATTGCCACGAAAACTAAAAAACAAAAACATACTTTGAGTTTTATTAAATTTAAATTTTTTTCGTTGTGGAACTTAAATTATTTGTTAATTTTGGCATTTTTAAAATGCTAAAAAATAGCCAAAAAGTGTGTGTTATCGTTGATAATAATAAATAATATATAATTGATATAGAATTTAAACAGATTTGTTCCGAAACCCAACCATATTTTTTCATTCTCTATAACTTTTGTATTAAAAAAGTTGCCAATTATTTTTGAAAACTATTTATTCTTTGAGAGTAAATTGAGGTGCTCTTATCGCTATTGAACTTCGCTGATTTCCCCCCACCGACTTTTCCCGAAACGAAAGACTTAGGCAACGAACTTGCTAGAAAAGTTGCAGCAATTTGCAAGCAGAGCGAAAGTTATCTGGCAATTGATTGATTACCAACTTTCTACTCTCAGAGAAATTATAATATGTGCAATTTGAGATGATTCTATTTGCTATTTGGGCCACAGCGAAAGCAGAACATTGCAATGGAGTGCCGTTACTTGTACTCTAACTATAGGCTAACTTCCTCTATATATCAGTTGTTAATGAACTTGCAGGAGACCTTGTTGAATCCCCGAAAAATGTGGCAAATGGCATTACCTAATTGGTGCGGTGCCTGAGGCCAGGGTTTGTGCCACTTTGTGGCCCACGTTGCGCATACGCCACCGATCCCCACTCTCTTTGGAGGCCGCTCTTTGGATCTCTTTCCCTCTCTCTCTCTCTCTTTAGGTTTGCCTGTTGCGGTTTGAGCGCTTTGACGTCGCCACTCCGCTCAAACATGTTTGAGCTCGATCCGCCGCTGTTATCAATTGGCGCGCGATTGGAGCCAGCCATTCGGCAACGCGCCGCGGCGTTGATAAGACGCAACGGGCAACTCGGCAGCGGGGCAACTGAGCAACCGAGCAACTAAGCATCTGAGCAACTCAACAACTGAACAACTGGCAACTGCAA